GTGGTTCAAATCAACCTTGTAGTCCAGCGCATTAATCCACAATGCTATAACAAGACTCCATACCAGGAGCTGTTGCTAGGTGCCATCAAGTCAGTACTGACTCATAGCAACCCTATGCACAACAGAACGAAGCACTGCCTAGTTCTGGGCCAATCTCACAATTGTTGCCATGCTTGAGCCTATTGATGCTGCCACTATGCCAATCAATCTCACTAGGGGTTTTCCTCTTTTCTCTGGCCCTCCACCTTACCAAACATGATATTATCTCCAGCAACTGGTCCCTCCTGACAATATGTCCGAGGTATGAGAGACATCCTGGCATCCAAGGAGAACTCTGGTTGCACTTGTCTAATACAGATCTGTTTGTTCTTTTGGCATTCACTTGTTCAGAACTTTCAATATTCTCCTCCAACACCATAACTCAAAAACATCAATTCTTCTATGGTCTTCCTTATTCACTGTCCAGTTGTCACATGCATATGAGGTTATTAACAAAACCATGGCTTGGATCAGGCACACCTTAGTCCTCAAGCTGACATCTTTGCTCTTCAACACTTTGAAAAGGTCTTGTGCAGCAGTTTTGCCTAATGCAATACGTTGTTTGATTTCTTGACTGCTGCTTCCATGAGTGTTGATGGTTGAGCCAAGAAGAATGAAGTCTTTTACAACTACAATCTTTTCTCCGTTGATAAGAATGCTGTTTATTGATCCAGTGGTGAGAATTTTTGTTTTCTGTACATTGAGATGCAATCCATACTAATGGCTGTGGTCTTTGATCTTCATCAGTAAGTATTTTAATTCCTCTTCACTTCCAGCAAGCAAGGTTGTATCATCTGCATATCGCAGGTTGTTCAGAAGTCTTCCTCCAATCCTGATTCCACGTTTTTCTTCATATAACCCAGCTTCTCAGATTAGTGCTCAACATACAGGTTGAATAAGTATGGTGAAAGAATGCAACTATGTTGCACACCTTTCTTAATTTTAAACCATTCAGTGTTCCCGTGTTCTGTTCAAACAACTGCCTCTTGGTCCATGTACAGATTCCTCTTGAGCACAATTAAGTGTTCTGAAATGCTCATACTTCATAATGTTGTCCATAGTTTGTCATGATCCACACAATCAAAAACCTTTGCATAGTCAATAAAGCAGAAGTAACCATCTTTCTGGTATTCTCTGCTTTCATCCAAGATCAACCAGACATCAACAATGATATATCTCATTCCATGTCCTCTTGTGAATCCAGCTTGAACCTCTGGAAGTTCTCTGTCAATGTATGCTTACAGCCATTTCTGTTAAGCTTAAAATTTTCTTGCTTAAGTTTTTTTAGTTAAATTTCTTACTAAAGTTTTACCTTTAGTAAAACTTTACTCACATAGGATATCAAAGATATTGTCTGATGACTTCTGCATTCCATTGGGTCACCTCTCTTTGGAATGGGCACAAATACGGAACTCTTCCAATCAATTGGCCAGATAGCTGTCTTCCAAATTTCTTGGCATAGATGAGTGAGTGCCTCCAGTGCCGCCTTACTTTCTTGAAAGCCTTCGATTTTTATTCCATCAATTCCTGGTGCCTTGTTCTTTGTAGCAGGTAGAAAATAAGACCCAGAAGAGCCTTCCTTTTTTGAACCTTACATATGGAACTCAAGGAAGGCATAAAATAAAAAGATTATTTCAGACAGTGATACATATTAGGGAGACATTTTTAAGGATCTGGAAGTAGGTGAATATCAAATAGGAAAGGCCCTAATTTAGAATGAATGATGGAGGAATGCCTCACTGAGGAGATGTGTGTGAAATGAGTCTTGTATGGTGAAAAGGAACCAGCCACGTAAACATAATAAGAGTAAAAAGCATTCGTCAGAATTAAAAGAAAATGCAAAACCCAAAAGTAGGAACAAATTTAATCTCTCTAACAGAACGAAGGCTTTTGTGTCAGCAGCAAAATGAACTGAAGGTGAGAGTTAAGAGATGAAGTTAGTGTGACAAGTTAAGTTCAAATCATGTGGGGCCTTCCATGTAATGGGTTTGTGATGTATTTTCTGAACAAAGACATAGAGTATTTAGTAATTGCACAAGGGCAATAGGTATAAACAAGATTTTCCCAGGAAAATCACGATTTATAATAATCCCACATATACCCAGGGTAAGGAGTTTGAATTTTGTGTGTTCGTAGACTATTTTAATCAGAAGAGTGATATAATTTGATCTGCATTTCATAATAATGACTTTGACTGCTGTGTGAAGATTAAATTCTGAGATGGGAGATCAGCTTTAGACAGTATTGATGTAATACTAGCAAGAGTTGATGGTGGGTTCAGGATAGCAGTAGAGTTGAAAAGAAGTTCACTGATTTGGGATATATTTGTAGTTATTATAGTGTGGCTCTGTGGATTAATGCACTGGACTGCAAAGTCAGTTTGATCTGCAAAGTCAGTGGTTCAAGCTCACCAGTCACTCCTCAGAAACCCTATAAAGAAACCCTATGGGTCAGAACTGACTCGATAGCACTTAACAACAACAAATAGCAAGACTTGCCCATGGATTGGAGAGAGAAGTAAAGGAAAGAAAAGAATAAAAAAATGACTACTAGATTTTTGGCTTCCACTTCTAGATGAATTGTGTCGTTTGCTGATTTTAGGAAGACTGAGAAAAAAGTAGATACTTTTTTCCTTGGTTTAGAGAGTTTCTTGCAATGTTATCCATATCTTTAATGAAATCATTTTAAATGGTGTTGAAGTATTCTGTAACAATGATTTTCACTCAGCATCTTAAATTCTATTTTGTTCTTGTTCTTTGGTATTTGAAATCACTAACATGATTTATTACTTTTCTAGGAAAGTATAGACCTGGGGGAAATCATGTTTTCCCTTTGTTATTTGCCTACTGCTGGGCGTATGACGTTGACAGTCATCAAGTGCAGAAATCTCAAAGCTATGGATATTACTGGTTCATCAGGTAAGTTGGCAATCATATCAATGGTGTATTCTCAAGTAAAACATTTCATTTATCTATAACTATACATGGCTATTGTGGAGAGTCCTGCTGTGGCGCTGTAGGTTAATGCACCAGACTGCAAAGTCGTTTGAACTGCAATGTCGGCGGTTCAAGCTCACCAGCCGCCCCTTGGAAACCCTATCCAGGGTCGCTATGGGTAGGAACCAACTCAAACACACTTAACAACAACAACAACAACTGTGGCGCTGTGGGATAATGCACTGGAATGCGGTTCAAAGGTTTGAACCGCAAGATCAACGATTGCAATTCACCAACCCGAAAACCCATACAGGGTCTCTCTGAATCAGAACTGACTTGATGACACTTAACAACAACATTGAATTATTGAGTTCATTCATTTATAAAAGGGTGAGATAAAAGGACTATCAGGAAAACAAACAGATCTATTTTGGAAGAAATACAGCCAGAATGCTTCTTAGAAGGGAGGATAGCCAAAGTTCATGTCTCATACTTTGGACATATTATCAGGAGGGATCAGTCATTGGAGAATGACATCATGCTTGAAAAAGTGGAGGGTTAGTGAAAAAGAGGAAGACCCCTAACAAGACCGATTAACATAGTGACAGCTGAAACATAACATTAATTATGAGAATGGTGCAGGATCGGGCAGTGTTTCATTTTGTTGTGCGTAGGGTCCCTATGAGTCAGAAAGGACTTGATGGCGCCTAACAACACAACAACATAAAAGGAAAAAAGAAATTACAAATTAAAGTATACCAAATTGTCTCTTTTATGTGCATGTGAAGTAAAGTGCCGTAGAGTTGGTTCCCACCCATAGCGACCCTGTATAGGATTTCCGAGGAGCAGCTGGTGAGCTTGCCGTTCGAACGACTTTGCAGTATGGCGCATTAACCCACAGCACCACACCATAATCGTTATGAAATTTTAGAATAATATCAAACATATTGACTTTGAAGTAGGGTTTTTATTTTTATATATTTCTCTATAATTCTAAAAAAAAAACCCCATGTAATTTACAATCTACTTCCCATTTCCAACTATTAAATTGCTTATAAATGGAGATTCTTAAGCTTTAAAGCAATTCATCCAAACTCGCATTACTCTGTGTGGACAATTTTGTTGTTAAGTACTGCCAAGTCAATTTCAACTCATAGCAACCCTGTATAGGGTTTCTGAGGCGCAGCTGGTGGGTTCGAATCATGGATCTTGTGATCCACAGCCCAGTGCTTATCCTACAGTGCCACACCAGGACCATAGGAA